GGGGCAGCACGTGGACAAGTATTCGCCGCGCCTGCCTACCTCGCAGATACCCCAAGCGTGGCGGGCCCAGCTGTCCCAGATGGAGTCTGGAAGTTTTGCGCTCGGCCCCGAGCTTTGCGATTTTCTGGTCTTCGAATGCTCGGCTGAGCTCGCTCAGGCCCGGCCTGCTGCTTGTGCTGAGACTGCGATGGCGATTGGAGACTGGCCGATTAAATCGCTTCCACGAGGGGCGAAGAGAGCTGGCCAATGGCTTCCGGCAGGAGGAAGGGGACCCGCCGCAGTTTTCTGGCCCCCTTGCGGGGTTCTCCAGCTGCCCGGCGAGACGATGGCCTATCGGGCCCAGTTCTTATTTGGGGGGGGGGGCCTCGGGGCCGGATCAAAACAAGGAACTTGGCGTTGCCAGGAGTGAGCTTCGTCGGCGCGCTAAGGAAGTGCAGCCCGAGCTCCCCGACAATGTAGAGATGTCTTTGCTGCCAATGGGATTTTCTCTGAGGACGCGGCCGCGGGGGCTGACCACTGGCGGCCGCGGGACCTGATGGGGGCTCAGCCTGATGCCCTCGAAGCTCGTGCCCAACTTTACAAGTCTTGTGAGGAAGCCCTCATGTGGCCCGACCAGATTCTGCTCAATGTTACCCCCCTCCCCCCCAGAAGCAAAACCGATGAACGGCCAGTTTGCATATGCCCTACCCTGTTTCGGGTTTATACCAAAATCCGCGGGACCTTCCTGGATGTTTGGGGTAGAGATCACGCGGCGTTTTGGGGCGCCGCGATCAGGGGGGGCCCGGCTTTGCAAGCTGCTTTGCGGCGCACGAGTTGTTTTCATGAACTGGCGGCCTTCGAAGGCCGAGTCTCCGTCGGTGTTCACTGGGGCCAGCGCGTGCTTTTTGACGCTGCCCCCCCCCGTCCTGCTGATCAGGCTCGGGCGCCGCAACCTGCGCCCCCCCCCCCCCCCCCCCCCCACCCCACACACCCACACACACACACACACACACACACACACACACACACACACACACACACACACATACACATCCGCACACACGCGCACACACCTCAAGTACATGGGATCACTTACTCACGCTTCCACCAGGGCGTTGGAGACTGGAGGGCGCTGTTCTCAGGTGATTGAGTCAGGAGGGATGTCCCAAGAGTATGCCATGGACCAAATCGTATTTATATCAGATGCTGGCTGGTATTCATAATAGGTACTTCCCTTTTGTTGCCACTCAGGGATATGTTGACCTCTGCCAGACCTCCCATAGCAGCGCCGATGAAGTTGTCAGCGCTATTGTTCCAGCGGCGCTGCACCTTGCGGATGGAGTGGATTTCCCGCGGCTGACGCCGTCGGACAAGTCGGCGATTGTCAGCAGCAAGCGAGCAGTCAGTCTCCGTATTGCCCGCCAGCTCCGGGCTGTTGGCGTTCGCTCGCGCGTGCAAGGTACTGTTCGCGACCTTGGAGTTGCTGCCTCTGCTGGCAAACGGGGGTCTACCATGATTCTTAAGAGTGCTAAGGCCAGTCGCAGGGCTTAGAAGGCGCAGTATTTGACGGGGGTTTGCACAGGGGCCTCGAAACTTTACAAGCCTGCTGTGCTGTCTGTTTCGTCTCGGGGCCATTCGGTCCTGGGGCTGTCTCCGCATCAGGTTCGGTTGGCCCGAGCTCAGGCCGCCAAATGTTCGGGATTGTGGGGTCCTGGGTCCTGTGCTACTACGTTGCAGTCTGCGGCTAAGGCCGAGTCTGCGGATCCCGCATATAGGTCCCGTCGGGAACAGCTCCGTGGGTTCCAGCAGTTGTGGCTCGATATGGAGCCCAAGGCTAAGATGCGCACCGCTCAGTTGTGGGAGGCTCGTGCTGGCGAATGTGCTTGTCTTGCGCCAGGGCGCGTTTGGCGCCGCGTCCGTGGGCCTGTCGCGGTCTTGGCTGACCTCGGCTGGCAGCCGTTGTCTCCGACGAAGTGGATTGTGCCTGACGGCGCCGCCTTGCACGTTGACTCCCCTGATTCCCCAGTCCATTTGTGGAAGCAGCTCAAGGTTACCTTGCGCAAGGAATTGCGGGAAACTGCTGCCCAACATTATCCCGAGGGCGTAATTGAGGGCGACGTGGATTTCACGAGTGTAATTTCCCTTTTTATCTCAAATGGTGAAGGATGTTGACTGTGAAGGGCACGGTGGTCTTGAGGAATGCGCTCGTGGGAAACTTCTGGACCGAATCCCGTTTGCATGAAAATGGATATGACACGGAATGCCAGGGACTTTGTCGGCGACGTGGTCTGGAAGTTGAAACCCCTCTCCACCGTTGCTGGCAGTGCCCGCGCAATGCTGATATTCCCTCTGCAGCTGTTCTTCGTGCACAGCCTCTGTGTGCTCGAGCACTTGAAGAGGCTAACGCGTGTCCTTCCTTGTGGCGTCGCGGGCTCATGCCTAAATGTAGGTCGACGTGGATGGCTTCCTCGTCGGTACCCTTCCCGGTGAGGCCCAGAGCTATCAGAGGGCTGAGCTGCTGGCGTTGGTCATGTTGCTTCGTCATACTGGGGGAGGGGGTTGGTATTCTCTGATCACCTACCTGTTGCGCAAAGTTTTCGTAAAGCACAGATATTGTTACAGAAATCGGATATGCTAGATCTGTGGGTGGAGATTTGGAATATCCTGAAGGAGAGGGAGGGGGAAGTTGAACGTAGGTGGGCTAAGTCGCACCCGACGGTGCGACAGGTTGCTGCGCTCGGACTGACCAGGATTGAACGTATCTTGATCTTTGTGGCCGACGGACTTGCGAACGAGGCGGCAGCCCGCGGCAGTACCCTTGTCTCCCTCATCGAACGCACCCACCGAGAGGACCACCTCCATCGCGACATGTTAAATAGGTTGGTTGCCATCCAGCGTGAAGTGGTCCTGCCTTGTGCACGCGAGCGCACGCGTGTTGGGCATGAGCACGTGCGGATTCGTGGGCCTGGGACTAGCATGCACACGCGCGTGGAGCGGGCGCGCGAGCAACAGCGCAGTCCCGTGGTCCTCCGAACTTTGATCAAGCGTAGCACTTGTTCCGCGAACTGTTCTCTGAAAGGCCCCCCTTTCCTGTTTCAGGCCAGGGCCATGCCTCGGGCCCAAGCATGTACGCTTGCCCGAGCCTGCAGGTGATGGGAAGGCGCAGCTGGGGAAAGGGACGGAGGAGACCCCTCCGTCCCACCGTCTCGTCTCCAGCTCCCATCCCTCGCATGCCCTTCGTTTACTGAGCGGAGTGTTGTTATGCAACGAATGCGGGGCCTTCGGAGTGGTGAATGCCCGGAACTTGAAGGGGGAATGTCCTCCCACGGGCCCCACTGCTAAAGGTAGGGAGGCCCTTGGGAGGCTCAGCCGTGGGCTCCCCCCAAAGTCAGGAATGGTTTTCCCACGAGACTACGTCCCCTGTTGCACGGCCGTGGGGTGTCTCGCGGTGACCGTTGCTCAGAGGTCGTGTCCCTGCCAGTGGCGTGGTTTGGGCCCACATGGAAGGTTCGATCTGGGGTTAGCGGTGTCCTGCTCGGCGGTGCCGGTTAGGCTGCCAGCCCTGGAACTCGGGCCTTGGAGTTCCGCCGCGCAGGCGTTGCTGGCCGTCCGTTTCACTGCCTCGTGCTGCGCACGCCCCCTGGTGCATGGCCGTGGGGTGATGTCTCCCCTGCGGTGACCGCTGCCCAGGGGGCCGCCCCAGGCATGTGAGCGCGTTAGGGCACGGGGGAGGCCCCGTCCTCCCTGACCGATACCCTATGGCGTGCTGGATTTGCTATGGCCTTGGCGTGAGTGGACTCGCGTGGCAGGTTCGATCTGGGGTTTTGTTGCGTTCTGTTCGGCGGTGCTGGTTACGCAACCAACCATAGAACTCGGGCTTTGGAGTTCCGCGGGCTGGCGCCGCTAGCCGTCCTTTTCACTGCCCCGTGGTGTCCTCGCCCCTGTCGCATGGCCGTGGGCTGAGGTCTCCCCTGCGGCGACTGCTGCTCAGGGGGCCGCCTAGTTTCAAGTGCGCGTAAGGGCACGGAGGATGCAAACGTCCTCCCTGACCGTGGCCCTTTGACGTGCTGATAATTTGCCTATGGCCTCGGCGTGAAATGGGCTCACGCGGCAAGTTCGATCTGGGGTGTTGCCGTGTCCTGCTCGGCGGTGCAGGTTACGCAGCCAGCCCGGGAATTCAGGCCTTGGAATCCCGTCGGGCAGGCGCCGCTGGCCGTCCTTTTCACTGCCCCGTGGTGTCCTCGTCCCTCAGTCGCACGGCCGTGGGGTGATGTCTTCCCTGCGGTGACCGATGCTCAGGGGGCCGCCACCGTATGTATAGTTTGCGCGGCAGGCACGGGGGATGATCTTGCCCTCCCCGACCATATGCCCTGCTGCGGCATAGGACTGTTTTTCTCTTGCAATGTCCCTAGCCATGCAGGCCAGGGTGTGATGGTGGCACCCCACTCGTGAGTGCTGTGTGCGGCCAGGCTTGCACCTGGGGACCGCCAATGCTGCTTCATGCTTCATGCTTGATGCTCCTCCTCCTCCTCCTCCTCCTCCTCCTCCTCCTCCTCTGTACCCTCTGCTCCTCATGCCGTTGCTGCTCCACCTCCCCCTTTATATACCAGCCTGCCTGATGCACTGAAGGCAACAGGGGGAAGTGCGCCAAGAGTGGCATGAAGTGCGGCGGGGCGCCCCACATACACCAGTGGCGACATCCGAACCCTACCCCCACCAACCATCGATTGTTGAACCGATGGGAGGCACGGGTTGGGTTCAGAATGCGCCACGTGTTCGATGAATCCGAGCTCTACCCCCGACGCCCATCGAATGGCCTGAGTCGTTGATCGGCGAGGGTCGGGTTCAGATTTCGCCGTCGAATGCAATGCTTCTGCTCTGGGCCAGCACTGACCTCGAGGCCTCACCGAAACGGGGCACTGCTCAGATGATCTTCCTTCTCCACACCCTCCTCCAGCGCTCTTCTTCCGTTGCCCCTGCAGAAACAGCGCCGAAGAGAAAAGAGTGAGCAACCCCGGGACCTGAGATGTTGCTGGTCGCGCCCACGGTGGACCCTTTGGTGTGGAAAGTGGACGCGGTAGGAGGCATCTTCGGGTCATGCTTGGACCTGAGCCACTCCACGCAGGACCAGCTACGAAACAAAGAGACGGGGTCAAGAGCGATCCAGAAGCTCGTCTAGAAGCAGAAACAATGGGACGACGAAGGCAGCCCTGGCGGACAGCAGTTGGAGAGAGGGCTCACGACTAGGTGACGGAGCGGCAGGAGTAGATTCAAGAGGACCTCGGAGGAGAAGCGAAAGCAGGAGCATGAAAGGGGGAGCAAGAATTAGGAATGATTGGGGAAGGCAGATGCAAGACGATGGAAGACCCGCCGACCCCCGCTTGCCAGGGAAGAAAATCGGGCGAATATTGACATGGATTATGAATCCGTGGATCTGGTGAGCGAACACCAAATCCATGTCGGAAGGAACGTGTTGCCACATGCAGGTCGCGAATGCCTGATGCAACATGCCCTGTGTGCTCAACCACACATGTAAAAGGCATATCACACGGTGTTGATAAATGTTTATAAAGAATCATCAAACCCCCATATCATCTCCACTGGACGCACCTTGGCCACCACGGTCGCTGGTGGCGTTTCCCTACTGTGGTAAGCCATTGCTTGTCAAACTAAACTCTGTGTGATGTGTTGTGTTATGTTATAGTATGGCACGTGTTCTGAGGTGTCATGTCAATATGCGTAATTATGGTGTGCTATGATGCGGTATGTTATGGCATGCTATGCGTAAGTGTGTTAAAAGTAATGTTGTGTTGCGCCGTGATATTTATAATATTGATACAACGCAACGCCATGGTATGCTTTGTAATACTATACAATACTGGGTGCTGTTGTACTACATCGTGCTATTGTATGATATGACGTGGTATGTTATGACGTGCATATGCTACACCGGCGTATGAACATATACTGTGCGATGGTAAGATATATTGTGTTATGAATTGTGGTGCCTTGATATGTTCTACATGACCCATTACGGCATGACGTACTGTGATATGCGATGTAATGTTCTGCTAGTTCATAATGTGAGGTGTCGCGTTGTGTCATGGTATGCGTTGTCATGGTATGTCCTGGTATGGCATGTTACGCCATGCTCTGACATGAAGTGATCTGAATTGCGATGCTCTGTTAGAATATGGTGTGGGGTGTGGTGGTATGGTGTGCTATGTATGCTCCACTCTGCCATGACTCGTCCGGAGACGACGCCCGCTGCTTACCCCTCACGAGGAGCGTGGCCCCCGAAGAGGGAGCTACATTGAGGACCCCCTCTTTTGACCGACCGCCTCCAAGATGGCCCCCAAAGGCCCCCCCAGGGCTCCCAACAGGCCACCAAGAGGGTCCTACGAGCGCCCCTAGAGGCCCAAGAGGCATCCAGGAGACCCCCGAGAGGCCTCCAGGAAGCCCCCGAGCGGCCCCAGAGAGCCCACGATGACCTCCAAGAAGGCTCAAGATAGCCGAAGATTGCTCAAGATGGCTCCCAAGATGCTCCAAGAGGCCCCAAGACCGCAAGAGGCCCCAAGACCGTTCCACGACGGCTCGAGATGGCCAGCCCACTCAGACGTCCCATGACTTCTGAATGGGCTGACTATGCGTGTCTCTTCCTCTCTCCCCCCTGTCAGCTCTCATGGGCATCGTTGCTGGATAGGCTGGTGGGAATACATGTTTACCAGTGGAAGTGTTCCAGCTTTCTATGCCGACAAGAAGGTATGACGCCATTCCTTGCTGTCTACGAAGGAGAGTGTTCCAGCTGCCCACGGTGTCGGTTCGAGCCCTCAATTTTACCCAACGCTGACTGTTCTAGCCACACACGGTGTAGGTTCAGCGAGAGCGTTCCAGCCGCCCACGGCGTGGGTTCAAGCCACGCGCGTTTACCCAGCGCGAGCGTTCCAGCCGCGCACGGCGTGGGTCCCAGCCATGCATGTTTACTGAGCGCGAGCGTTTCCAGCCGCACACGGCGTGGGGTGCATCCATGCGCTTCTACCGAACGCGAGCGATCCAGCCGCCCACGGCGGATTTTCACTAGCGAATTCATCTGCTGACTGCAGGAGAAGCAGCTATAACCAGATGCCTCAACTTATAAGATCGACCGGCCGACCGAGGAGGAGAAGGAGCTGAAATGGAAGGTTTGTCCAGCGGATTCTCAGACCATCTGTGGCTCGGTGGCTCAGGAGGAGCAGCAGAAGCCGGAGCAGGAGGAGAAGCCCCCCCCCCCACCCTTGCCCCAGCTGCCCCCGAGGGCGTGGCACGTACTTCGGGGGCTTCTCCTGGCCCCAGCCCGCGAGGCGGCAGCGCCCACACGCGCGCGCGCGAGCTACGGGGCGGAAGGGAGGCGTGCCACCACGACCTTGACGCAGACAAGAACGAAGGACTGACGACGACGACGATGACGATGATGATGATGATGATGATGATGGTGATGATGATGATGATGATGATGAGGATGGTGATGATGATGGGGAGTATGAGATTTTGCTGCGGTAACCATGATGACAATGGTGGCGATAATGATGACGGTGATGCGTGGCTGAATCATGCGTGGTTCAATCACGATGGTGGAAGTTGGATGCTGAATCACGCGTGACGGTGATCAATGGTGAACGGTGGATGGTGACGAAAGAGCCTGTTGATGAGTGGTGAGTGGTGGATGATGGATGTTGTTGCTGATGATGACTCATGCCTTCATGTCCGATGAATTGTGGATGGCGGTCATGGCGAAGATCATGCGAGGAGGAGAAGGGAAGAATAAAAAATCTGAGGAACGCGTATCGAATACGTTTTCGCGATGCTACGAGATACGGTCGGTCCTTTCTGAGCCGGCAGACGCCTGCAGAGGCCAGAGAAGAAGCATGGAGGAGGAGGAAAAGAAGGGGGAGAAGGTCCAGCGAGGAGGGAGGTGGAGGAAAAGGGAGAAGGGACAGGGGAAGGAGGAGCGGAAGAGGATAAGGGTAAGCACAAGGAGGAGGCAGCAGGAGGGAGCGGGAGAGGGGCCGGAGGAGGAGAGGACCGCGATGATACTGCGCGGGAAGTCTGCCTTGCCGTTGACGCAGTTTGATTATCACGCTTTTCCTGCTCCTCGCCTCGTCATCGCCCGACTCCACGGGAACGGCATGCACAAAACGTTCGGGACACGCGCCGATATCTCGGATCTACGCTGGCTCCCTCTCCCACGCGCGCTGAGCGCGCCTGGGGCAGCGCCAGACGCGCTGCCAGGTGAGTCCAATGACGATGCAAGAAATCCGCGCAGCCCCGAAAATGTATGTTTATGCCGTTGCCTCTTCTGCGAACAATTCCTCCTCTTCCTCCTCCTCCTGCTCCTCCTCCTCCTCCGTCATCGTCACCCTCCGCAACCCCCTCCTAATCTTATTCACCGGCTCGGGCGATTGCGAAGTGAAACGCGTCGTGAGCACCATGACCTAGAGGTAATAGATAATACTGCGACGCACGCGGGCATGCTGAAAGTGCAACATGTCATCCGCCGTGCTCTCCTCTCTACGTCTCGTCCTCCTCCAGCTCCCCCCCTACTCTTCTCGTCACCAGTCCTCCCCCCAATCCAGACCTCATTTTTTCCCTCCCGCCCTCTTCCCCATCCTCGTTCCACTCCTGCCCTTCCCTTTGGTTGATTTTTCCCGTGCTACCACCTCCTCCTCGTCGTTCACGCTCTTTCCCCTCCGAGCCCTACTCTTTCTACACTCCCTTCCGTCCTTCCACGGTTTGCGCCAATGCCCCCTCCTTTCCCCAAATTGCCCCCTCCTTATCTTCATCCATGCCCGTCCGCCTCCTCCTCCTCCACCTCCTCTTCCTTCTCCTCTCCCGCTTCCTAACCTCATCATCATCCTACTATTACCATCCTCCGTCATATCCCTCATGTCTTCCTCATCATTTTTGCCTGTCACATCATCCGTGCCCTCTTTATCAGATGGCCCCCCTCTCTCGAGTCAGCGCGCGGAGTGGAAAAAAGGTGCGCGCCCATGGTGGTTTTGATGCAGCCATGGAGTTGCGTCTGCTCCTCTTTCCCTCAAGGGCGTACTTGCCCCTAAGACTGTGGCGGACTTGCTTGCACGGTGGGGGGGAACTTGTGGCGAGGCGAAACCCCAAAAAAGTCTGCACTTCATGCAAATCGAAACGTGCCATAAAAGGACCGAAAAGGCGTTCCTGGCCACGAGGATCATCGGCCACGGATGGGTTCCCTGGCCTGGATCTCGAGAGCGCCACGAAAATCCGAGCCCCTCCTCAGGATACCAAAAGGCACCACTGAGTGGCGCGCTGCATTTAGCGTATTTAGAAATAGGTTGTATCGATTTAACATATACTTAACGTTGGGGCCGCGTTCGTTCATATTCCACCGTTGCGCAAATGTTCACAACTGAATGGTCTTGGCATCATGGTGCCGAACCAAACGAAACTAACATATCGTAAGTTCACTCCAACTCGTCATATGTGGCCAAGCTTTCCACGTCGTGTGAAACAGCTAGGTTGCTGTGCCATTGTGTTTCCGTTGGCTCCTGGGCTTTTGGCAACGTTGCAATTGCCGTCTGTGGTTCTGCTCTGGGAATATGCCGTTCGTGTGCCACTTCCGCTTTTCAGCCCCACTCCTGCTTCTTTCCCCCGCCCGATTACCTCCCGATGTCTTCTCAACCCCACTCCTCCTCCTCCTCCTCCTCCTCCTCCTCCTCCTCCTCCTCCTCCTCCTTATCATCATCATCATCATCCTTCTCCTCCTCCTCCTCCTCCCCCCCCTCCTCCCCCTCCTCTTCCTCCTCCCCCTCCCCCATCCTGTTTACATTCGGTAGCGCGCGACAGTGCACAAGAACAGCGGACAACGAACACTTGCATGCCCCAACTCGCTGCCTTATGCGCGCCGTTGTCTGCCGTTCAATCTGACCCCCCAAAAGTTTGCCTCAGAAACGATGCCCGCCCCGACCCGTCCGCTAGGTCGATATAGAACATATAGTCGCATGCGCGTTCCTCCAAGATCAGTTACCCCATAGACTGGGATACTTCACGATGGGCAGTCTGACTTTCATGAGGGGTCCCCCAGGAATGTCAGAAACCTTGAT